ATTTTAAGACACAAAAAGTGGTACTTTATACACGGCCGTGACTAAAGTACTTTATTTATCTGTTTTAGTCACGGGTTGAGCTTAAAACAAAGAATACACATTGTTTTTCATATAAAATCAGATTTTTTTCTTTTTATGTTCACATGCCAAGTCTGTTTCTTCGCCGTGCATTTGTTTCGTGCGCTATTTATACGAATCGCGCTGATAAGGCGGCGATAAGACGGTCGAAATAAAGTTGGTAATGTACGACCGCGTCTCGCCGGCGAGTAGTGAGTTATGTTCGATATACTGGATACTTTCAGATAAGAGGCGCTCCTGCACTCTTTGCTCCTGCTCTATAGGTGTGTCTGCCGTGGCAATGACAGGAAAGCAATGGATTTCGTTGTTTACGTGCCCCGACATTGCGTGTGTTTCTCCAACTAGACGTGTGCGACGTATAAATTTAATTTAATTAATGCTGTATGCATGCGAGCCACGCCTACTCACTTAAATTAATTTCAACCTCGACACATCGCACAACAAAAATTAATTTGTGTGTGTTTTTAAGGACAATTTAATATAAACAAAGTGGTGATCAGGAAATATTACACGCAGCAATCATAAAACATAATATTTTCACGTCGCGATGTGGATGTGTGTGGGTGGTAAATGTTTGTCCATCCACTTTGTAAATTTTTCGCGTTTTCCGGTCTGGGCGACGAGATATATCACATATACTTATGCGCGCCATGTTGCGACGCCATCCAATTACATTAAAAGATGTTGACAATTCCCACCGGACAAACAGGAAGTTGGTCACGCGTAGCAAGTCGACGAATTCCACGGAACTCCGCCCGGATTGCAGCCTTCGGCCTCAATCGTCTGGTCATGCTCCGATGCGTTAATTCAACAATGACGAAGGGGAAATCGTAAAGAAATTCTAATATAATTTTATAGAAAACTAGCTTTAACCCTCGGCTTTGCTCGCGAATATCGAAAATAATGAAGTTGCTTCCGTACGCGTCTGTAGTCACAGAAGTAGTAACAATGAAGTAGAATGGCGGGAAGTTTAAAATGGCTGAAAGTATAGTCTATGGAAGTATAGTGTACAGTCTCCATAGTGTAGTCAATTGGATTTGATGTTGACGTAGCTGTCGGTAATACAGTGTGATAATACAGTGTGATGGTACTATAGTACTTAGGTTTGAGCTTCATTGCTGGAATGCTAGATGGCGTTAAAGTAGTCAAATAGCCAGATGCAGAGGTATTATTGGCTAAACAATTTCTTTATTTTATTTAAAAAATAATTTTTTTTATTAAATAAAAAGTAGCCTATAACCATTCGGGGACCACTAAGAATATGTGTACAAATTTTCATGACGATCGGTTATGTAGTTTTTGCGTGAAAGTGTAACAAACATCAGGACTTTCGCATTTATAATATTAGTAGGGACATATTTTTATATATTTTTGAGGTTAGATATTTTCATCAGGTAGAGCTGCCTGCTGGGAAGAAAGAGAATAAAGGTTGAGCGATTACTGCTAATTAATAATACGGGCATATGGCAAAAAAACCGCTAGAATCATTATTTTCCCGTGGGGTTAACTTTTTGTCTGTAGGTGTGTTTTGTTGTTTACTCATTTTTTTTTGTTATTTTTTTGTTTGCTGGTGCAGATGCTTCGTTTTGATGAAGTTGGAAATGTTTTTGTTTTCTTTCTGTTTTTATTTTTAAATACTTAAAATTGAAAAATGTATAATAATTAATTTTTCATCATATATACGTATTATTTTTGCATTGTTTATTGTTTATATGAAAATATAAAATTTTTAATATTTTCACTACTAATTAAATTTTTATAATGAAGTTGATGATAAGCGAAAATATTTATTAAGATTTTAACTTGGAAGCACAATAGGATATGTGTATTGTTGGTTGCCTACCTGACGTTATTCACTTGTCACACGTGAATGACAGCGTTGAAAAGATGTAAGACATTGGGTTGCATATATTTGATTACAATACATACACATTATATATATTATAATATACTGATATAATATACCATGTGTTTAACTATATTGCTATAGTAAACTTTACTTTATAAAAAATCACTTTGGTAACTTTATTAATATAATAAAGTCTTATATAAAACGTTATGTTTTAATAAAAATTAGTTTTACCAGATTATCCAATCTCTTTTCGACGAAAGTAAAGAAAACTTAATAATTTCCAACATGCGTGTTTACGCATGTGACTATATCGCCTTTCAGGGTCAGTTACTACTACCCCGTGATGTGTTGGAAATCGCGTGCAACCACAGTTCGTTTTCAGTTTCGCTTTCATTACAAAACAGTTTTTCCTGCTTGGCGCCTCCACCATGTTCAACATCCCATGCGTTCGCTTTGTTTAATTTCAGTTTTCTTTATTGTTATTTTTTGCTCATTTTGTCAGAAGCTCAGTGTGTACATAAAGGAGTATATTACATTATGAATTTGTTATGATAGAAATTAACGCAACACATTACACAATATCACGTGTGGAAAGTGTGGGAAAAAATGTAATAACAAAGTTATAATAAAACCACGCATTATGAAAATAGTCTAGCGTACTGTAACATGAAATAAAAATAATATAAAAATAACATATGAAATTATTGATAAAATAAAAACCGAAGAAAGTAATTGATAAATTAATTAAACCAATTTTTGCAATCAGAAAATAAATGTAATATAAGTTGATTAGTTAAGGGGAAAGTTTTGTTTGGGAAAAATATAAGAACACACTGTATAGAGGAAAATACTAATTTATAAAGTCTATATTAGTTTACTAAACAAAATTACACAAATTATCTTTAATTTGTTTGCCTAAATGTCAATTTGGTTTTCATTTAATAAAAATCTATTATTTGACTTTATAACTTCCACAACATAGCAAAAAATCAAACAAAATAAAATTCATTTTTCATTAAATTAAACTCAAACAAACTGTAACTCTATTTTGTTTGCTTTTATTAATCGGAATTATTTCCAATAAAAAATTATAGGTAATTTTTTTTTTAAAAGTAGAAGTGCAGACGAATTTATACCTATGCTATTATAAATGCAATTTTGTATGTTTGTGACGCTTTCACAAGAAAACCTATGAAGCAATTTTGATATATTTTGGTGTAATGATATTTCCAACAGTGGAAAAGCAAATAAGTTACTTTTTGTTACATAAATGTAACTTAGTGGATGTAAAATAGGGAATAAAAGTTGGTATGTCGATTCATACATAGTTATGGTTATATGACTTTAACCAAAATGGCCCTAAAGTGCGTTATTAGCATTTTACACTTCTATAAATTTAAAATATGAATGTTACTGAAATTACTCATGAGAAAATTAAAACCAAAAGATCAAAAAAGGAATTTGAATTAAATTTTACCAAAAACTAAACCAAAATTAAATTATCACCTATTTTATTAGATTTATTTTAAATATTTTTAAAATTTTCTAAAATTCTGCCTACAATAAGCATGTATAACTAGTTAATAATTCTATAACATGCATAAGCCATACGTCATCATTTTAAGTAAAACAGCAGCGCAAAGTTGACGCAAAGATTAATCACGCTGCAACTCCACAAGAAGCCCGCGAGCAAATTCTTGCAATTTGTTAAATCTACGACGTACACGGAAAGATGTGAAGGATGTCGAGCATATTAAAGACGCAGCAAAAGTTCCATCGCAAGGCGTGTGCGCGCGTCGAGGTTGCACTTTTCGACTTTTCTCAGCGTAGTTACTAGTTCGCTGCGAGTTTTCCGCGACATTCAGCAATTTAAAGCTTTGAACGACGCTATCAATCATTTCCAGATGCACACCCACATAGAAAAACATACACATATTCTTTTAATACCAAAGCCAAAGTTGCTTGTTAAAGATTTAAAGTTTTTATGCGTTATTAAGCAGGTTTTAAAAGTAATGAGAAAAGTTTCGCATATGGCGTTGCAAGTTTCATTTGAATGATACTTGGGTTGTCTATGTTTCACGAGTGTGCGTGACTATAATATCTGATAAAGAATAAAAGCATCGAGTTGTGTGAGGAAGTTGCAGACGGAATATAAAACAAGCGAATGGATGTTTAAACGACCCGCAGGATGCGCCGAAACGGATTTTCATCTTATTCCTGAGCCAGAAAGATTTATTATCCAGTCAACATTTAACGTACCGCTTGCGTTTCGAATCTTTTACTCTTTGCAGAAACAAATCTAAAGTTTGAAGCGATAAAACTGTAATTTTGCGATTTTTAGTTTTTATTTTAGTTTTTATTTTATTCGCCAATTTGCTTCATTTCCTTTTAGACTCGTCTAGTTCGCGCTGATAGCGGCGTGTTTCTGCCAGTCGCGTGGGGGTGGCAGCGAGGCGGTTGTTTAGTGTGTCCTGCTGGTGTCGTGATTTATGGCCGTTATCTCGCGGCTTTCGCGTCGACAGCTTCGCCGACAATCCGACGCAATCGAGTCTAACGCGCGGCGGCCCACTTTTCTCGCCGCCGCACTTTTTAGGTTTTGTGAAAGTGTCGCGTTTTGCGTTTTATCTTGGTGTTACACGTGTAATGTCAGGGAGTTTAGAAAACACAAAATGCTGTTTAAAAAATCAACGTTTTGGGGGACTAGAGGTTAAAAAAGGTTATGTACGTTTAAGATTAATAAGAATTTGTGAAATTTTTATTGTTATTAAAGACAAATTCGCCGGAATTTTCATTACAAACTTTCAAGTGTACTGAAAAGATTATTTTTGCGTGTGTAATAAATGTAATATAAAATTTTCAAACACGCGGCGTCTAAAACGCACGTTTTAGGATTAAAGGATAATCAGAATTATTTGCATTAAAAATTTATAGAAATTTCACTTATTGTTTTGTTCGTATTTTAACAGATACATTATTTTATGAAATAATTCAGATTTTCGTTTTAACTATCCTATCTCATAGAAAATAGTCCGTAGATTAAGACGCTGCGATCAGATCTTAATTATCCATCCAGCCAATGATCAGGGAAAGCATGCGACGACTTATCATCAATGCCCAGCATGGACCATCGAGGCAGGTTCTTGAAGTTATCCAGGAAAATGTAAGTTATTTTACTTTTTGTGTTTATTTAAATTGGCGCGGTTTTTTGTGTGTGTAAAATATTGAATTTCAAGTCAATGAAGAATGAAAGTGCGGGTTGAAAGGGTGGAAAATGTCTGACTGATGGTTTCGGTTGGCAGCGGAGGTCTGGAGGTCTAATAGGGAAAACGAACCAATATTTATCTACGGTTTAAGTTCGCTGTGCAAAACCGGCTGAAAATGTCTAGCGGTGAAGACCCAGACCCAGACAGCTGAAAGAGGCTTGTGGTTGGGGGTGGAATTTTCCCTTTTCGCGTTCGGGTGTCTGGCGGAATTCACGGAATGAAGAACCGCAGAAAATGAAAACGAAATGAACCATATCCATCGTCAATTTTACAACTTTTACAGAAAATTTTTCATCGAAACACTGAAAATCGTTGTATTTTTGTTGTTTAATACAAAATTATGACAAATAAGTTATCTAGAGCTTTTAGCGAGCTTTTTACGCTAAAAAAACCATTGGAGTCATTTATGTCTATTAGCCTGCATAATTTATCTCACTCTCCGCACTAATGGATGTCAAAAGCCGATTAATACATGTTTTAATCCACAAAAATATAAAAAAAATAAGTGGATGTGAAGTATTTTGATGTAAAAATTTAAACATGCAGATGCAGAATTTTCCGATTAGCCCTTGACGCTATCTGTTGATAGGTAATCGACTTTTTAATGAGGACAGGTTTATTTTCCCCATCGTTGGACGGGCATGCATCGGGTGGCGTCGGCAACGGCGAGAAAGAGCTTTTAATTAAATTTTGATTCATTATAATTGAACGTTCGGCGGGATTAAATCGGCGATGCGCGATCACTTTCCCGCATGCCCCTTTGGCTGCATGTATGGCACGCACGATCGCAGCCGTGCATAAATATATGGAATCTGAATGAATCTGTGGATTCCGACTGATTCGGATTAACGCCCGCGCATCGGCGAACGTGTTTGTGCAAATTTCAACCCTATCATCGGATTAAATCGTGTGTGCATTTGATTATTCGATTAGAATGTTTTTAAAACATATATAATTTTATTCAGTTGTCAATTACAGCAAGAGAAATATTTTTAACGATCCGAAATGAATAAGATGAAATTTACCGTGAAATATCCGACTTGGAATAATTTTAATAGACGTACTAGTATTCAAAATCGAATCAATTTCTGAGCGTTGTCAAGTGTGCGATACCGAAGTGCTCATTAAATCGAATAAAAATGCGATCGTCAGAATAAGCATGTGAAAAGCGCGAGGGATCATTATGCGAGGGATGGAAAGCTCCGAGAAGACGCAGAAATTACTGCGGCGCACACACTCGAGCATACTCGGGGAGTTTTACTAAGGTCTCCAAAAGGCAGCCAAATCGAATGAAAATGTATTTTTCGTATTTTTCCTCGACTTAACGCAATACTCCTCTCTCTGCCATCAACCCAAGATTACCAAAACGTGTTCATCCTTTTCTTACACGTGAAAAACCCCTGAAAATCTACCTAGGGCTGGAAAATTCGGCTGGAGGAAATTATACCCTGCGGAAAAATCGATTTGATGACATACAGAATGAAATAAATAAATATATCTAACCTTATGCGTATTAACAAGCAGCGGAAAATTTTGTGTACAAAAAGAAAAGCGGAAAATGTGCGATTTGTGAAAATTGTGGCGAAAAAAACGAAGAAAAGCGTTGTCGGGCATCATGCCGACGCGAACGCAATGAAAATTATCCGACTTCTTTTATCTCTTCGGCCAGTGATTTATTGCCGGCGTCATTATCGCTTGATTGTGTACGTTTTGTACGCCATTCTTTCGACGAGAAGTGTCTTTATAGATTAGAATGGAAACGGGCTTCAGACATGGAAAAAGAAACTTGAGTAGAAAATCCATTCGGGAATGTAGGCCACCACAACCACATCTAGCCTACTCGTAACTTTAATATATTCCCACACACATAACCTCACATTACATCTACTAATGTGATTTGTTTTATTTTCCAGATTGGCTGCTGTGGTGCAGATGGTCCAAACGACTTCACCTCGCTGCACCAGCCGCTGCCAACGCAGTGCCGTGACACTGTCACCGGTAATCCATTCTTCCACGGTTGCGTCGATGAGTTGACTTGGTTCTTCGAGGAAAAAACCAGCTGGATCGCCGGGTTGACGATGACGCTAGCCATGCAGCATGTGAGTACTTTTTTCTTCTTTTACCTTTAGATACTACATCTTTTTCGAGTTTTTTTTTTTTTGCTTTGGAGTCGCTTTTGTTAGCACGCGTACTGACAATTGTAACGCGGCTCCCTCGTTATTCAACTTCTTGATATAAGAAGTGGGAAAAGTAAGAAAGCATGAAAGTAAGCAAAGAAAGCTAGGAACGTGGAGCATTTGAGGGGTTCCTGTGGGTGATGGCGGTGGTGGTGAGGCGAGAACGAGTGTTTCCTTGATTTCTTTGTTAGTCGTGGATTTATGTGCGCCTTTATCTTTAAGCTACACAATCCGCGAGCGCGAAACTTTGCGCACTTTTCCAGTGATTAATTGGCGCGGATTAAGAATTGTCTCGGAACTATTCTCGCGTGGACTTGAACTTAAACTTTCACACGCGAACACACACAAACCCAACACGCGTGAAAACTTTTCTACAATTGTTAAAAAGCAACGTGTGTTGCATACTAATTTTTGTGTGTTGAAAATAACCTCAAAAATGCGATTTTTACACAAAATGTAAAATTTTGCTTTTAATCGATTATTATCACTTAAATTAATCTCTGGATTGTGTTTGAAGCAAAGCAGACTTGAAGGGGCATCTGGTGCCTGTGTCGTCGCTGGTGGTTGTACTGTCCCGCGGGAAATCGTCGCACACTTCAAGGGTTTACGTCTTCATTAACTCACCATAAACGTCAATAAGTCCTAACTTATTACGCAATTTCGTTCGAATTTAAGCCGCGTTTAGAGAAATTAATCTCCCAGATGGCGCTTGCAAAGACCTTGCCATTGCCGACGTCGACGACCTCACGCGCACTTCCGGTTCCCCTGTAGACCCGAATTGGCGTGCGCGTATGCTTTAGCTTTAAACTTGCACTGATACAGGCAATCAACGTGTGCAAACTTTCTAATTGGATGGAACTTTTCCACTTTTCCACTATTGGATACCAAAGACAAAAAACAAACCGGAAACTACTTTTGACCTGGTTCTAGTCGTATATATTTACAAAGTAATTTCTAAATTGATATTGATTAAACAATAAACGTCCTGACGTCCAAATTCATGACTGGGCTTTCATTCCGGAAGTGAAAAATTAGGTTAATTTGATTGTGCACCATCGCCAGCTACTTAAAATAGCTACTTAGCGATGAGAATCAGGAATCGGGTATCATCAGGTAATGAACAGAGGAAACCTAATCACACGTTGATAGTCCTTGACGGTTTGCTGCGAGCGAGAATTGTGAACCAATATGCGAGGAGGGGTCGCAAGTGGTCGCGTTCGGTGTGAGGAGATATCACGGATATATAACGGGTATTTCTCCGCCGTGTGAATCCGCTTGATTAAAGCACGTAAAGGATATACATTATTCTAACAGAAGGATGCGGTGCACACACGCCTTCCGACCCAAAACCAACCTTCGATTTTGTGAGGTTGGGTGTGGTATGTATAATCAACGGAAAATGTCTCAATTTTCCAATAACCATTGTAAATATTTCTCTTGTTAACATTTACTTTCAACTGACCCAGATTATTTTTTGTTTCTAAAACAAACTAATTATCAGTGAAATTTTGTATAAGATTGTTTATATGTTTGAAAAAACAAGCGAAACAGATCTGATAGACCAATGGTCAGCATAATTGGCAATAATTTTCAATTTTGCGGTTCATTAGCTCGTGAATCGAACGACTCCCCAGCGGCGCCGACCTCCGAGGGCAAGAGACGACACTTAAAAGTGACAGGCGCAGACAATCAATTCCGAACGTTTCGCTGTTTCGCCAAACAAAACAAAAGAAATACAACGAAAACAAACAGGGCGCCCACGTCGCGATCGAATATGTCACAATGAAGAAACCAAACCAAAAAACAGCTAGCAGCAATCGATAACCGGAGGTTATTCACGATTTACTGACATGTCGGAAAATATACCGTCTTAATTCCACAAATGGAAACCTTTCCACCAAACTACCCCTCACCTCAGGGGCTGAAACTAGTATTAGGTTGAAGTAGAAGCAGCTAGTTGGGTTTTCTTCGTCTTGCGCGTAAGGAAAATGTTGTTGCAGTCTATTTGTTTGGTGTTTTTATTCGTCGACCCGTCGCCAGAACCTCTATTTTTCATTTATACGCCGCGTCGTAAAACTCACGGGGCGCAACCGCGTGGGACGACGGTTCTTTGTATAACTCACTCAAACAGGTGCCCCCCGCATTCTACCACCAACCCCCCACCGCCATTGGCCGGCTAACGCAATCAACATTTCCATAACTAAACAGAATATAACCTTAACTAAACACTGCCGCGCGCGTAGAATGAAATTACAACGCAAACACATCGGGGGCAAATTAACGATGGTCATTCCATTTAACCACAATTATTACAATTATAACACACTCGGCAAATATTTTTTTTTAAAACATAACGAATACATTTTAATGATTACGCCACGCATGAATGTTCCGGATTAATTAATTGCGAAATTAGTTTGAATCCAATTAGTATTGACTAATTGGAAATTGCAGAGTTGATATCAGATGGTAGCAAACGCATAGGTAGATAGATATATACATAGAGAGAAGGGTCTAATCGCATCCGGTGCGAAATACAGAAGATGCACATCAACTACCTTCGCGAGCTACGAGTACATATAGCCAGTCAGCTAATTAACTAACGCATCGCGTTTACCAATTTACCACATCTTGAGTTGACTTTGGCTTTGCTCGGGGTTCGTGTACGTGGATGGAGCAGCGTTGGGTTCATTAATTGTGCGAGATATGTTTCTCACAAATTATCCGAGAGTAATGTAAGATGTTGTGTCGCGTCTATAGCTTGTAAGAGATGAATATCAAAGTGTTTCGGTAAAGCAGTTCAATCAATAATTATTACATTTGTTACTTTAATGATGAAAATTTAATCAAAGTATTTTTTACTTTCACTTTTAAAATGCTAGTTTTTCTACGGTTTTGAAACGCAAAAGTGATTAAAGTACTTTAGTCACCGGTTTTAGTCACGGGTGTGGTTAAAGTGCCACTTAGCGCACTTGATACTTAAAAACTATTAAAATAAGCAATTTATTACAAAAATGTTTAATAAATTAATTTCTGCAATTTTTCAATTTTCTTAACGTGATAAAAAAGAATTGTTGATCACAATTTGGAATAGACATTCGAAACTATTAGACGGTGTACGAATAGAAATAGAAAACCCGGTTACCGGCTGCCGCCCTCGTTTGGTAATAGAACTGGCTGGCGGCGGCGGCGTATGCAAGCGCCGTATAGAAAATTGGAGTGAATTATTGTTTGCGGATAGAAGGGCGGAAAAGGGCACAGCGCTGGGAGCCTTGCACTTGCAATGCACGGCCTACCTATCGACGCTATTCTATTCGTGCGTACTTTGTTCGTTTTAAACCGCCGCCGACAAAAAGGATAAATTTTCGCCGGGCGGCGCCGATTCGCGTTGACAACCTAATGGATACGCTGGCTTCGTGCAAATATTGTTCGTACGCGAGGATGTAATTTTTTCCTTTGAGCCGATCGCCATCACAGCAGCAGTTTAGTGGTGGTGAGGTTAGGGAAAGAAAAAATTGTATTTTCCCAAAACGACTCCAAATGCTTTTTCGAATTGTAATTATCCACAAACAGAGTTAAACTGTGTTTGTATTCTGGGATAAAGCCGTTTTTTAATAGAAATGACACAATTTTCTATACATTTTATTATTAACTAGCTGTTGCCCGCGACTTCGTTCCGGCAGTGTTTAATAAAAATGTAATTCGTTTTTACTCTCTTGTTCTAGACATACTCGTAATAAGAGTCAATTCTATCAATAAGATTAGCTATTTTAATTTAAAGAAATTAATTATATAAAGTTTTGTCAATAATGCACTTCAGCGCGCCATCTCGAATTCAACTATTTAACTATAACTATGATTGAATTTCAATGTCAAATTTTATTCTATAGAAAAGAGCTGTTTTGAGGATTTTCCCGGCAATTATTCGAATTTTTCTCACCTTTTAAACCTTCCCTAGACCTCCACGAATAATTCAAGACCAAGATAAGATAAATCCGTTCAGCCGTTCTCGAGTTTTTGCGAGACTAACGAACAGCAATTCATTTTTATATATTATTAATGGAATGTTTGTAGTTGGATGAATTTTAATTGAATTTATACAATGTGTGCGGAGTTGAGCATGTGTCACCAACGTGTAAATGCCAGGAAAATGAATAAAACACATGCAAGCAATGCAAGCGTGATAAATCGTCCTGGAGGTCTTCCATGCGCGCTGCAGAAATTAACAAACGAGCGCGCGTGCGGTCACAGCGCGATATTAAACATTTTCAAGTCAAGTGCCATCGGCCGAAACTCTCCAGCCGCCTCGCAATTCGCATTAAAATTATTTATGTTTCAGAGCCCAGGCGCTGCACTTATTCCATTAATATACAAATTAAACTCGGCATTCGCAATCACATTTAATGTTATTCAAACATCAAAACTCAACGAAAACAAAAACATTCATTTCGAAAATGAAATAATTTTATATTATCTCAAGTGTGATAGTATTCCTTTTGTGATATGTCTTTTAAATTGCATGAATAAGTTGAATTTCTTGAATGCGCGCGCGGGGACTCATTAAAAATATAATTAATCGCGGCCCATTAGTGCGGGGAGCGTCAGTGGGTATTTATTTATATTCACTTTATATTCATTTCCTTTTATTAAGCGGCGCGCCGGGAAGGAGTGCATCCTACCGGAGATGCAGCGCGTTCAGCGCCAAGATGGCGGTACATTTCCGCGACACGGCGTTCAATTAATTGAAAAAGCCAACCATAATTGCATTAAGCAGCGTAATTAGAACCAGCAGTCATTTTTTATTAAATATACAAAGTGTTCAACTTAAAAAATTAATTTTTTTTGTTTTTACGCTTCATTTTAAAGAAAATAATAAATTTTAAAATGATATGGAATTAACAATATCTTAACGACTGATTTAACCTCAAAATATTCTTATTTTGTTGATTATTGAACACACTGTACATGATTTTAATTATTGGTGTTGTGTACGATGAAAACGACTTGAAACACTTTGCACACGCTGAAATTGAAAATTGCCGGAAGTCGACGACGGCGACACGCTGTTTAAAACAGAAGAAAAAAGTCCTAATGGCGTATTAAGCGACAAACCGACTTCCTTAGCTTAATTAAATCCACCTCTAATTTTTCTGACCACAAGACACCAACATTCTATGCGTTTAATTATTTTTTGTTTTAAATTGATGCAAAACGTGTTTATTTTGCATTAAGCGTATATTTACCTTTCTATTGTTGTAAATAATGTTTACGTACGTTTAAGTAAACTAGCGCTTAAATTTAAAGCTTGAAAGTTTCGGCGAGTAATAAATGTTACGCTTCAAAATAATATCGAAGCGTAATCAGTATCAATACGCGAATCGCGCGCAAAGTTTGCCGCCTGTGTGCGCTTCAATTGGCCGAGAGACGAATTACAACCGCCCCCGCGTCGATACTTGATGTACTTTATTGTTGTTGTTGTTGTTGTTGTAGCTGGGTTCGCGCAGGCAAAACAGCGATGGCAAATCGCCGATCGGAATGCAAAGTTTCGCGTTGTATCGACTACTTTAACAAACAAGTGTAATGCTAACAAATAACAAACACTATAAATACTCTAAAATAACATAATGGATGCCAAAATAAGAAAAAATTCTTTTTATATTTTTAGACTTTTTGTTTTTAGTTTTTGTTAAATATTTGAAAATGTTTTAACAAAAGAAGTGAATATAATGCACCGGTGGTCGTGTTTGTATACTTTGGGCCAGCTCAGATATTATGTAAGCGAATTCGCAGCATGCAGAGCGAACGTCAACACAACCTGCGCGGTGGTTCGTGGGCGGTTTGGCGGCGCGCCGCCGCCACTGCGTGGAAACGCGACCGCATCGCAAATAAATCCCTCGACTCTTTACGCTTTTGTTTCGCGCAACAATAAGATAGTAATTAAAATGCAAATTGAAAGTAAGTCAGCATAAAATGTGCGCGGCCAGCAAACCACCACCACTTTGTATTACAGAGTTCTACAAACGGAAATAATAATAAAACAAATGTTGTACGTGTGATTCTCTTCTATGTATTAATTCTTAGGCGTGTTTTTAATATTTTCATGAAATGTTAAAGATAACACCCGGTAGGATATTTTATGCCCTCATGGTTTCATGGTTTGGTAATCTTGCGTTCGTTTGCGGATTGTCTTTTTGGAACAATCCCGCTTTCCACTTATCCATTTGAAAAAGATATTCCCGGCATGCACCGCCGCCGCCGCAGCGGGAACCAACCCTCTTTGGGCTTCATGCAGTCCAAGTGGAAAGTGGAAGCTGCTCGTCGGCGCTTTCCACTGTGTTGGCTAACCACAAAGTGCATTCACTATTTTAAAATGTAAATAGGAAAATTATTCTTCGCCATTGTAACAAAAAAAAATTAATCAGGAAAATATTTCAACCATAAACATTTTTTCTCTTAATTTTTAGTTCAGGAAGTTTTAATATGAGTTTTAGTCACGGGATTGATTAAGCGCTCCACCCTGTGACTAAAACCCGTGACTAAAGTATTTTATGTGCCTTAAAACCGTGAAAATAAAAAATTCTGTTTTTATACGTTTATTAAAATGGTGAGTTAATTATATCTGATTTATAGATGTAGTTAAACTAGTTGTAACATATTTTAACAAGTAAACATAAAATATTCACATTTTCCGCTTTGAATAAAAAATACGTTCTGTGATAATGCACACGTAAATGAGTATAAACGAGTCGTAAAATACAACCGAGTTAATTACTAGTTTTATCTTGGTGCTTATAATATCAGCGGTTCTAAATTTTTTATTAACTTTCATAAGCTATCAAAAAAATCATCATTAAAATAGCGTAAAGTATAATGTTGCCATTGACTTGCAGCCAGCCGCATGCGACGCTACATTTCACCCCTTTGCGAACAAAAAGTTATAAACTGTAGAAATATAAAACAAAATAAAAACGTATGACCTAATTTAAATGAAAAATGCGTAATATAAACTTCCTTTTATACAAGGAAAAATGTGCGGAGAAAAAATAAAAACTTTAAAGCACGATATAAATTTTAAATAAAAACCCGCGAGACACGCAATGCAAATGGTCGAATGCCTTCACATTAGAGATTATAAGCCATGCAAACCTCCAAGAAGAAGATTAATAAACTCGAATGTGCGATAAGAAAGCGGTCGTAATTAAAAATGTAATTAATGAGCTAGCTGATAATGCGTACATTTTATATTTTTCTCCCCCGTTGAGAAACTCAGGGTCATGAATACGGAAAAAATGTGTTATCACAAAATGCGACAAAAAAGAAACACAAGGTGTTTAAAAACTGCAGAAAATAAATATTTGAACACGCTGTATATTCCTGAGTATTATTGCATCTTGTGGAGTAGGTAATTCTCCTGAGAAATTAAATGTTTTGGTCAAAAGTGTGGTTTTAGATATTTTCCTGCGCGAGCGAGTCTATTCCCGTTTCACAATTCCGGTTTTCCGGCGAAAGGCAGACTTTCACTCATTGCACTCATGCTGTGCGGTTTCCACAGGGCTGCCCAGCTGGCATTCGTTTCGGTCTGTCGCTCTTTTAACGCCTGCGAACCAAAACCGGAAAACCGGAAAAATTTATAAATAAAAATAGTAAATAATCGAATTTTTAGTTTATTTTTAATGTGACGAGTAAAATCTTATTCAAAACCGGAAGCCGGAAATATTGTGTGTCGTTTAGTTTCATAAATTAAGTCTTAATTTTTAATAATGTTAACTTTACTAATTAATTACGTTTAATGTTTCAGATACTGAACATCGTCATGTCTATTATCCTGATGAAGGCCATCCCCATGGAGGAAAACGCGTTCTCCAAGTATCGTCATTAAACCTGCTTTTTAATTAAGTTTTTTGCGTCATTTTTATCTCCTTGCGAGCGTATTCTTAAAACATGTTTAAGTCTTTTACGATTCAAGATAGTTGAAAGTTTGCGCAAGTTTTTTCAAACTTTCTAAGTTTTATTCGCAAAAACTACAATCCGACAATTGCTGCTTAATTTTTCTTCATTAAAAATGACAACTAGTAATAAATTAATCTTGATTAATTATGCAAATAATTAAAAATAGCCATGGCAACAATTTTTTCATCTACAACTTTAGAATATGTAGTAACATTTTGTATTTTTGGGAATAAATAGATGTAATCAACGTGTAAACTGCTCTTATGTAAGCAAACCACGAATTTTCTGAGCTTTAAAATGTTTGATTTTGTTGAATGCGTAATTAAAAACAGTGCTTTCCACTTCCGCTTCAGATTCAGCGTACATCGATGGAGGCTGTTCGCACTCAGCCTCGATTAATACACCAATCAAGCAGAGCCCTTACGATTGCTCTTAATTAGCAAAAGGTCGACGAATGCGCCACGCCGAAAAGTTGCCTTTGAACTCAGTACTCCATCACCGAAGTTCCCAAAACCGAGCGGCGCTGTCCTGACAAAGTTTTCCTCAGTTCGACCTTTCATAATTTGATAGTACGACCGGCGAAATTAAGCCCCGACGAGTTGTGCGCTTGTCCTCACGCCCACTTTTGACCAGCAGCGAGGTTTGTTATGCTAAAATATAGACGCGTTCATTAAGCATAATAAAAAAGTCGGATAAAAAGCAAACGCGAATGCGGATATGACTACGTTCGCAATTACCACATGTCCAGACATTCAACAAATTCAACATCCGGGAGTTGTCGCTTCGCATTCCGTTTCGAATATTTTCCCGTGGACTGAGGTCTGCTAACGAATATCCTCATTCCGACTTGACCCTCCGGTGCAATCCAGGCTGATCCCTGCCTCGGATGTCGCCGCAGCGCAGAAATCAATATCGACGTTGATGCGACGTGCAATTGTCCGGTCGTTATTGAATTCAAGCATACTAAAGTATATCCGATGAGGAATTTCACCTCGGATGCTTCAAATAGATTACAGAAAGCAATTTGCCGCCGGCGGGGTAGCGGTGGACGACGCTGTCCTCAGCATACCTGCCAATATTGTGTAAATCTGTGGTGGAGGCGCCATTTTGGGGCTCCTTATTTGATTAGTGAAGCCAGACCAAGTTGGGTGAAGCAGTGAACTGACAAGATACTAAACCAGATAATTACAAAAACTTTAGAATTAAAATTTGAATTTAAATTTAAAATAATAAAACAAAAATGTATTTAAAACTAAAAATATCACAACATAAATATAACATAATAAAAACACCAAAATTATTTCTTAAATTGTTGCTGGATTTCTTCCAACGTTTTTCCCTTAGTCTCCGGAATGATAAAGTAACAAATAAAAGCAGAAATCAATGTAGATAAACCATAAAACCAAAATATGGCATAAAGTCCAACATATTCCAGTAAAAGGGCAAACACCTGAGCAGTTATGGCAACAGACAACCCCATATTGATGTTCATCACAACAAACGCCTTACTCTTAACACTCGATGAAAACATTTCACTTAAAAGCAACGTTGGTACAATCCCCAGTCCAATGGAGAATGAAATAATGTAACACACCATCAATACCAGCGGTAACACCGAAAACCCTGGTAAATCCAAATCAGTTTCATCATTGATATAAAACACAGCTCCCTGCGAAAATAGAACCAAGCTACAAGCAGCACAAGATAGAATAGTGGCTAGTCTTCTTCCTAATTTATCCAAAACTGATGATGCAATCAATGAACATGTAAAACATGACGCGTTGTATATCATAGAACAGGTACCAGCTTGAAGATTACTCCCTGATCTCCTGAAGATTGTCTGGATGTAAACTGCAATTGCAGCAGCACCACAGAAATTCTGTATCCACCTCACCGCAGCCACAATACAAGCTGATTTTCGATTGCTTGGGATTTTTATGAGGTCAATATACCTTCCTGTTTCTGATTGTTGACGTTTGACATCTGCTGTCAACTGGGTGAGTTCATCTTCAACGTTTTCTTTACCTCGTAACCATTGAAGTGATTTTCTAGCTTCATCTGTACGTTCCCTCATTAATAACCAATAAGGTGACTCTGGTAGCACAGGAAAATTCAACATGAATAATACTGGTAATAACATGAGAATACAAGCAGCGTTGCTGATACTGAAGAATGACCCAATGGAGTTAATCATAAACTGGCCCAGATACATGGAGAGTGCCATTGAGTTACCCCAACGTCCACGCACTTTTGGTGTGGCTATTTCTGCGACATAGCATGGAAGAGCTGAGAATAGACAGGCATCACCAATGCCATCAGCTATCCGCGCTATGTAGTAGACATACAGTGGACCTCCGATGATACAGCAGATCAAGCTGATGACATAAGGTATAGTTACTGAGAGGATGGCTTTCTTACGGCCCACAATATCGATGATACCCCCTACGAAGGGACTTGCAACGACTGTGGCAATCGGAGGGATGACGGCCAGATAAGAAAGTTCAGTCATTGTCATTTTGTAAGGGTTCTGAGTCTCATCCAGGAGGATTGGTACGGATGGCGAGGGCCATGCAAAAAGTGCACCACCAACTAAACTGTTCAGGCATACTGGAAATAATAATAACTACAATTAAAAAATATTTTAAAATTATTTTTAAAGAGATAATACCTATGATAATACTGTAGATTTGTGTCCATGACTTTTCTTCGCCTGAAATTTGCTTCACAACAGGTTTATGTAACATTTTCTATCAGTAATATGATTTTCAACGAAGCGTCAAACGGATCATGATACAAATGGTGAAATTTTCGCAAACCGGCGAATTTATTCATTTTCTGATTATTACATCGAGTTTGTTTTATTATGGTGTCTCCGACGTCACACTTATCAAGTTGCCAAGTAAGTTAATTTTCGCGTGCGATAATATTTCACATACATCCATCACCTTCGAACATAATCTGCGCTCATGACTGGAGCATGTTACAACTGATACCAGTGTTAACGTGGCGAAACATTTTTTTGAGTGACACGCGCCTTTTTCGACGCTGAACAAACATTTGCTCATGTTTTAGATCTTAAATCTTAAAACAGCAAAAAAGATGCGAATTTAGATTAATTTATGAATACACATCTAGACTGAAATTATATTTATGGTAAACATTGTGATAATGATGAAAATGACGAAATGTCGAGCACGTATGGTACAATTATTTGTTTTCATCGCGTTTGTGATGTGATATTTAGATGTTGATAGTCGTAAAATTAAAAAAAAATTAAAAATTTTAAAATTATTTTTTGTTGATTTTGGATTTTTTAAATGTTTTTATAGAAAACTAGCTTTAACCCGCGGCTTCTCTCGCGAATATCTAAAATAATGAAGTTGCTTCCGTACGCGTCTGTAGTCACAGAAGAAGTAACAATGAAGTAGAATGGCGGGAAGTTTAAAATGGCTGAAAGTATAGTCTATGGAAGTATAGTGTACAGTCTCCATAGTGTAGTCAATTGGATTTGATGTGGACGTAGCTGTCGGTAATACAGTGTGATAATACAGTGTGATGGTACTATAGTACTTAGGTTTGAGCTTCATTGCTGGAATGCTAGATGGCGTTAAAGTAGTCAATTAGCCAGATGCAGAGGTATTATTGGCTAAACAATTTCTTTATTTTATTTAAAAAATATTTTTTATTAAATAAAAAGTAGCCTATAACCATTCGGGGACCACTAAGAATATGTGTACAAATTTTCATGATGATCGGTTAAGTAGTTTTTGCGTCAAAGTGTAACAAACATCAGGACTTTCGCATTTATAATATTAGTAGGGATTAATTATTATATTGTTCACTTATAAATTTAATTTTGAAATTTCTATAAGCATTTTGAAATTAACTGCGATTTTGAATAAAACACGTTCATTAAACCTCTAAGCTGGGCTTTTTATGCGAAACAATCCTCGGCGCATACAGTAGACCGAAAAGTAGATGAATACGTACAAAACCGCCGACTTTGCTCTACACTCGCTCATACCTTTACTTATTGCTTTGCTTTGCGCTGGGGTGAAAACCCTCAAGTGCATAAGCGCTCTTTGGACTGATAATTACGGGGCGGACCAAAGCCGATTGTGTGAATTACACGACACAACGATGTTAAGTTTCGAAAGCGATGCTATTGCTTCAGTCCGGTTGAAAATAGACATAAAATTATAACAATTAATTTTAACTTGGATTAATTTGATATGTTGGAAATGAATTTTGTGGCTAAATTTGTAAGTTTTAGCATAATTATCGATTTATTTAAATTGCAGCTTAATGCGTCGTAATTTATTCAATCCGCTTTGGGGGTGAATGTTAATCCGACGCGTGTAATATTCCATAGTGGCGTAAAATTATTTTTACCCGCTGAAAATCGATTAAAATGCTAATACTCAAAATTTGATTAATTCGGCCTAGTGATTGGCTAAGTGACTTATGACTTGTTACATTTTACCCACAAAAGGTTACTTAACTTAAGTATCGTATTTTTAACTTTTTTTTTGAAATACTGGAACAATGAATGCAATAAAATCGATTTTTTTGTTAACCTACTCTATATTTTGTCCAAAAATAAATATTTTCATTTTATTTTATTCCCTCATGTATATTTAAACATCAATCACCATGAACGACATTGATATTTTATTCTGGCGTAAAAAACAAATCATCAAAGGCCTTAAAACATATCTGTATGCAATATTTATTTAAATCCACACAAACCACTCCAACAAATTCGTAGATATAAATGTATTGTTTTTTACGCATGAAATTGATTTTTAAATATTCAGCCCCCGAGCGTTTAGTAAACTTTGCAGCTCCCTGTTCGCGGTGCACTGTGTCGATTTAATTTCGAAAACATGCAAAACATACAATTTACAATCTCGCGTGCGCGCGGTGCGAACGGATGAACGCCGAATGAATACTCTTCATTTGGTAATTAGTTTTGTACAATTTACATAAATATATGCGTATGCAATTTATCGGCGGTGGCGGTTGCAATGGCCGACCACCACAATGGTTGGTGGATACGATGAACCGTAATGCAATATATTAGGGGGCCGCAAATTGCATTTCGCATGATGCAAAACGAAAAATTAAATTCGAGCATTTAATGAAACGTAAAACGTGAGATCAACATTCAACAAAATTTTATACGTCGACTGAAAGTAATTAATATATGTTTACATAATAATATCAAATTACGTGTTGAAACATTGTTGAAAAGTTTTAATTTTGAAATTTCGCAGAAATTTAACTGAGGGAAACTTCAATGCATCAAAAATATGTTGTCTACAGATAATTTAAAATAGAAATTGAGTTGTTTATAAATGCAAAGTGCAGAAAATCTAATTTTGATTGCTATTGCGAATTTAATTAAGCAACACGACGTCGCGCGACTAACGACATCCCTCGAAACGACTGTTTCGTCGAATTTCGAATTGAACGCTCGACTTCTCGCGGCGAAAGTCGGCGTAAGCCTCCACGCTCAAAGCTTAGAAACTAGAAACCAGACAACCTAATGCCAATTTTCATTTAACTAATCACGATTGCGCGAATCTCGGCTTTGGACGGAACGTTAACTCCTTCAGCCCCCACGCTAGCAAACTATCTCCACATCTACAGTCTGTTTGCATAACTAGTAAAATTAAAAGTTTAAAATTAAAAAAATTAAACAAATTTTATTATAAAATGAATTAAAAATAAAATTTATCCATAAATAACTTTTTTTTAATTTTAAAATTTTTTTCAATATTTTCTCTTTTGTCATCATACTGTAGCCACAATGAAACTACGCCGAATTAGTAGTAACCCTCGTTAAAGTGATAAGGGTAGATTTTCTAAGTACAAACCAACATGCTTGTAGAGCATCACAAAGAGACTCTAAAACAAGGCGAAATTAAAATTTAATAAAAATTGTAATTAAAACTTGCATCAGAAATGATTTTTCGTGAGTTTGTTTTTGATTAAATTCCACATTCAGAATAATCACTTAATGAATTCTCTTTTGATGGCACAGGTAACGCGTGAACGTATTGAAAAGGAAATAATGGTTTGGGGGCGGCAGGAAAAAGGGTTGTTTAATGTACCCGTTCACTCCACCAAAAACATATCATGGAGAGTGAGCAATCTCGATCCATGTATTCATCCGCCTTCGTGTGTCGCACATATGCCCTCTAAAAGTATGCAAAACGCATTGGACAACCCTCCAGCCCCCCATTAGACTATTTGCTAATGTCGCATCGTGCAGCACTCAAAAACGTACTTAAAGGCCCTTAAAATCCATTCGAATTGAAACGTAGTGGTCGTTTTCACGTTTTAACTTACATTTAAAACATTTCACTAATTTTCTCATTTTCATGTACAAATCAAGTCAATATAACATAGGCAACCCACAGTGCTTTTATAACCATACTTTTAGTAAATCTACAAACGCCATCTTTCGGTAATTTATAGCCGAACAGTTTTAAAAGTTATTTTCATCAACTATTCGCGGAATTTAATTGCAGCCAGGCGCTGATAAAGTAGGTTATGTGCAGGCTGACATGCAACCGAACGTCAAACAAAAACCACCATCGACGCGCCGCCCCAGAAAATATGCGCTTCGCGCACGCTATTAAAACCAACCTCGCAGCGCCGGAAACGCCACACGATACACTCGCACTTCTTACCCTTTTAACTTGTAAATGTTGCAAAGTCTGGCGGGCACCGTGGTGGCGGTAGTAGCGGCGGCGGCAACTGAGGGGGATGCTTTTGTTCCAAACTCGCTCTCGCACGTAGCGGTGCGTTCAAGCGTCCCGAGCGAAACTCGCATTATTATTTATGACCTTACTATAATTACAATACACCGAAATTTATATCTTGATCATGCACACTTTGCTAAACTGTAGCCTCCTGGGGAGAGCCGCCACCCTCGCGACTATCGTGACCAGAGCGCGCGCTGTACTCGCATGAGAGAAAACACGAGCACGTTTTCGCTCCGAACTGAAAATACAAAATACAAAATTCGTACGTAATTCGCACGATGCCAGACTTTTAATTCGATTATACAGTGGGAAAACGTTCAGAATTTCATTTCGAAGTGACTACGAGCCACCACAACGATATACAAGCATTTTGTTAGAGTTTAAAGCCGTTTAATTCGATTAATATGTGCGGAAACTATTGTTAAAGTTATGCAACCAGTTATACATAACCTATTTTAACCTAAAATCAAAATTTTTGTTTTATTATTCACATAACGCTCAGTGGAACAATAAAACAAATTATCGCGTCTGGTGTAAGAGGGTGCACAAAATCCACTTTACATTTTAAATATAATACATAATAAACAAGACTCTAAGGCCGGATGCGACGTCACTAATAAAATGCGCAAACATTTAAACAAACAGCGCCCTCGGGCGATTTCAATTCACGCCCGTACGAATTTAATTCCACTTTTATTATTTCGAATAAATTTTCAAATATTATTTGTAAATATAATTTCATTTGTGTATAGTGGCGCCATCTATGAAGACAAAAAATTATTGTTTTTTATTGCGCTTGTTTTGCTTGTGTTACCTTGAGTGAATTCATTAGGTCGTAAATTTTTGGGTGGTGCTTTATTCGAACACAAATTAGCCATCAAAGCGGCGTGCTTTCGCTAAATTACGACCACAAGCGGCGTAAATTGTAACCGCTAAAGAAGACGAAAATAAAACGAAGCTAATGAAAGACATCACGACACATCATCATTACGAATTAAGTAACGATATGGCCGGGCACTTTCGCGTCCACGTGCGATTAAGTATCGGGGATTTTAGTGCGGACTGATAAAACGCGCGCACTGTTTGCTGCCGTGGAGTAACACCCCTTTATACCGGACGTTTACGCGCATAATAGCCAGCGTCAAATAATGACTTTTAATAACGCTGCGTTGTGTTTATAG